ATTAAAGATATTCAAACTAGTATAAATAATGCAACTACCTAGCTATCATTGTTTATTAAATTAGAATTCTATTAAAAATTTAAGGCCTAAGGAGTTGGAAAAAGTTAATTATCTCTCAGATACCTCATATTGATCCAGATAATAATCTTACTTCCTTATATTGTACCTAGGTCAGAGGCAAAAATAAAGGTTGTGCATCTCTGCCAGTGAGACCCAATTCTTGTCCCTCATTAGTTGATGGTGGAAGACAATCTTTCGGAGATGCAATTTTCATCTTGACGATGAAGGCTAGGTATAACTTAAGTTTTTTTTTTTTTTTTTTTTTTAAATAGGCTCACACATTTCATAGCCACGTTATGTTTTTGTGTGTGTTACTTTCTCTACAGCTGAGAGTACAACGGCCATATTAGTTGTTTGCTTCAGTAGCATGTTATAGCTGAGTGTAGAATTTTAAGTGAGTTTAAGGCATTCTCATACAAGATACAGAAGATTGTTTTCAAGGGTATTATGGATACCATTTAAATGGTGTGTGAAAACATAAGATATAACAGTATATTAAAGGTACAACAGTTAAAAACACAGGAGTTGCTTGTTTTTATCATTATAGTTCAAAGTTCTTTTTTTTGCTAATTATTTCCAACTTCAGAATTCTGAATTGACATTCAGAACACTAATGTTGCTTTGCAGTGCACTTAAAGGTTATTCTGAAAACTGATTTTCTTCTCTCTCTCCTAGAAGAATTAGTCCAATTCTTTACCATGTACTGCAAGACAACTGTATTAAGTCTTTTAGAACAATATTAAAAATAGAATAGGACTGAATACAGGCTATACTTGAGAACCTTCTGTCATGTCTCATCTTTTAGTACACTTAATCTATTACCACTTGACAGGCTTCTAGTTTGCATGTTATGCTTTCCTGGCAGACTATATTGAGAACCCTTACTCTAGACCTAGCTGTTCTTCCATGTGATGTTTGCTTTGTCCATTGGGTCAGCTAACTGGCAAATGGGATTAGATTGGATTGTTTTGAGCCTGCTGAATCTGGTGGCTTATTTTCACTTCTACAATAGTGTTCTCTCATCAAGAGATCAAGGAACTCCATAAATGAGGTCATAAGTAATACTTTTTTTTTTTAAGCTTTTGATCAGATTTGAGTTTGAGTCCAATGGAAGGCGTCCTGTGCTAATCAAGGGACGGGAAATAGCTTGTGCATGGATGTTTGTGGTTATTAGAACAGGTTGCTCAATAACTAGCTCCAGCGTCTTTCATTGTAGCAACGGCCAGGTGTAGACTGTCTAGTCCAGAAATAACTCTTGGTAATATTAAGTAATGGTGATAGTCTGGTGACAATCTTTGCTCAAGACTGAGGCAAAAAAGCAAACAGTATTTCATTTTTTTTCCTGTTCTTTGTTTGTTTTCCTGATCTAATGAAGAATTCCTTCTTTTGCTTGCCTCTAGTATTTTTTTTATGTAATTTTGTCTTTTTTTCCTGCTTCACATTGGTTGGATTTTACCTAACATTGTTAGCCTCTTGAGTACCTTTTTGTTTGTGGTGTTGAAGTACTTGCCAATACTAATAGTGCCTTTTTTCCCATTTTTAGGTATCTGAAAAAATACCTTTAGTAATAAGTTAGTTGTGCTGTTTTCATTTTCTTTTGTGTGCATGTATTGAGGAAGATGTTACTCTGCTCTTTTCTTCCTTTCATGAATTGGTTACTTTCTGGAAGGCAGAAAGCTATGCAACCTCATGTTCACTGCTGTGGGGATGGGAGAGTTCTCTTTCCACAATTAACCCAGGACCTACTCTCATTTCTGCAGCATTGCAGGCAGAGGGATTCCATTAGGTTGTATGCTCTTAGAGATAATCTGTGCAGTCGCTTAACAGACTTCAGTCATAGTCATTCACATGTGATTAGGCTGAAAGCTGGGCCCCAGCAACTAAAGGTTTTGTATGCAGTATGTGAGTACCTCTTGTTATGTATTTAATTTCCTATTTTCTTGGAAATTTTCTATAATCTGGCTATTTCCTTAAGACACAAGGTCAGTTCTGCATAAGCTCATAGGATGCTATGTCTCATCAGTATATGCTTCTGACAAGAATTGCCCTTTTTAGCCAAATATTTAAAGTTTTTTACATATATTGCAGTTTTCTATTTCTTCCACGTTAAGCAAGACATTAACGATTCTCACCTCTAACTCTCATGCTTTAGTGTTGCAGCCACACCAATACTGCCCTGCTGTTGGGCACGTTCGGATCCCTGCAGGTGTGGGGTTTTGTTCAAGTGGAGAGCTCTTTAACCACGCTCCTGCAGTGAGATCCATTCAGAGTGTGTGTGTGGCTCCGGCCTTGGAAGGAAGCTTTAGGCAGGCATCTTCCCCTCTGTTTACCTAGCTAATAATAAGCTGCCAGGCTACTGGGCATAGCTTCGTGGCTGGCATCCAGCCCTTCTCCCAGGAAAATATTTTGCCTTAGTGCTCCCTGGCAAGATTTCTGATTTAAGACTAATGGAATAATATACTGATTTAGGTGGGGTAGAAATGTATTTTCCCTCCCCTGTGATAATTTATAACTAAAGTAAAAACCGATCTTAGGCTTTACAAAAAGTTATCGCCTTAAGCAAGACAAATGACATCTCTATCCAGATTGTAAAAGGGAAGTGTTTAATAGCTATCAGAGTACTTACCTTTCCCAACGTACTGTGTCCGGATGCTTCAGATATGCAGCCTGTACACTTTTATATGCCTGCGTGCAGTAGAGCTTTCAGACCACCATGTTTGAAACCACATTAGTGACAGCAGAGTTAATATGAGAGGTTATACCAATCCTACCGGTAAGCTGCCTTGGCCAGTGAGTATGGTAACTATGATAACTATGGTAATGTGAGTAAATGATACTATGATAATGAAATATAGACTATTCAGAATATTGAATATAATGGACTGGTAAGTCATGACAGACTCTGAGCTCCTCTTGAGGGAAAGGGGTTAAAAAAAAGGAAAGAAATGCATAAATCTATTAAAAGTCAGTTCAAAACACCTTTTTATTTTTTAACTGGGGCTCCTTCGTGAGGTTCAGGTAACTGCAGCTTCTCTCTTGCAGCTTAGCTTTCTACATGGCAGTTGGTCATCTTAGTGACATACTACAGCTGCTTCAAACAAGGCCATAAACTTAGCAGTGAACTGGAGCACATCGTGTTGTGATAAGGGGTGAGAACACTAAGTGGTTTAGGTGAGAAGATAACTTTGCTCACATACCTTATTCTGTGAAGTAAGGCCGACTTTGCCTAACCCGAAACCTAAGCTGCCTGGCCTGTGTGCAATACAACCTTCCTGACCTTCCCCAGGCATCCCAGATTGGAGGGAGGCTGCTTCTCCTGCACTAACATTGCAGCCTCTCATCTCAAGTTCCAGGCGTGCTCCTGTTGTGTGCTGCGTCCCTGGCTCTCTCTGGCTTCCATTTGGCCAGCCAGGTTATCACAGCTCGTTACTTTTCATCTTCCTAAAAGACAGCGAGAGCCAGTTTTGCGCTGTGCATTTTGACAGTTGGGTCAGGCCAACCACAGCAGGTCTGACCCCTGTCTAGTCAGTTCCATATTCCACTTCCCAAAGAGATGAGCATCTTCATAGCTAGTCGTAGTAGAGAAGTAAATAGGAAAACTGGATACCAAATGGAAAACAAGCTTTCTAGCTCCATTGATTTACTAATAGCTTGGGATTTAAACTAAAAAGGATCCAATTAAAATAATGTCGCTACCTTTTTACAGTTTTGTAAATCTCACAGGGATTATGTCATTTTAATATACAGCTGTATGATAGAAAGGCTCTGAATAGATGAATGGGGCTAAAGATTACAGACGAGCACGACACTGGGGTGAAATAATGTGGCCCAGTAATGGCAGTCAGGAGCTCGGGGTGAAGTAGTCGTGTTAGTGTTTCTTGGGTTGCGTACAGCTTTATGTAATCAAGACAGTGGCCTTTTATAAAGGATGAGGGATCAAAAGACTAAGACTAACCACATCTCTCCACACTTATGTATACGAGTAAGCACATTCATGGATGACAAGGTACAGATATTAAGCAGGCGCTGTATCAACCTCTTAGGGAAGGGGGTGCTGAGAGGGTTTGCAGCTTGAACTGAAGTGTTGCCATCCTTGTGTAACTTGAATGGTTTTATTTGAAATAACTTCATCAAAATAGTAGCCTTTATGAAAGTCGACTGTGGCGAAAGTATGCCTATTAAAAATGCTAGAATCTCAGCATTTACCATTTCACGTCACTAAAATGATAAAAGAGGAAGGGCAGAATGGCACTTTAAATGCAGCAAAAACTAATCGGGCTTCTGTTTCTGGGAAGGTGTTTGCTGTGGACTAAAACTTTGCCTCACTCCCCCACAGAGTGTATTTGAGGTTCAACAAAATGAAAATAGAGCAGAATGGATAGTGTTACTGAAATGTGATAGGTATGCAATCTAATATTTGTATGTTAATGTTTATGAAAACCCTATTTACGCAAGAAATATGTCCTGACAGCTTTTTTTTGCTCTTCTGCAAAACACGATTAAAATAGTATTCCACTGTGGTAACACTTACCTCTCTTTTCTGTTAGCACTTTCTGCCTTGGCACTTGAATCAGAATCTTGCAATACAATAACTTACATTCAGATGAATATTTAAAAAAAAAAAAAAACCTCTTATTTCATGAAGCAACAAGAACCATGCCCTGAAAGTTTGGCTAGTTTGTTCTGCTGCTGTCGCCTTCATTTCCCTAATATAATAGGGTTCCTGCTAAAGGGCTGAAGAGCTTAAAATGAATTTAATTACTGTATAATAAGCCTTATCCTTTGGCGAGGTCCTTCACTGAAGCTAGACAGTGAGTGTTTTGTGATAGAAGGAAAAGCTGGAGGGAAAGGGGGAGGAGGAAGCTGCAGAATGACCAGGGCTGGCCTCTCCGCATTCCTACAAGTCTTGCTTTTTTTAAAATTGGAAGCTGCTTTTATAGATGCCTCTCCAAACAGGTTTGTTTCTTTCCTTACTCTCCCATTTGGTCGCTGGAATGCATGTACAAAAGGGCAGGCCCTCAAAGTGACTTTCCAATCTGTTTTTGTGGTTCCAGCCAAGTTCCCTTTAACGTATGGAGCCGGCGAAGCCGAGCTGACTTGCTGAGAGTATCGCAGACCTCGGGCGCAGCTGCTGCTTTAAGTGGCACTGTGTGATAATACAACAGCTCTGCTATTTACTGGAACTCAAGTGCCTGCACTGGCACACAGGGACGGTATATGAAATCCGAAAGCATGAGGATAAAGGAGATTTCCTTGCGGCAGGATCCCGACCTAAGAAAGGAGTTGGCACTGTTGGCTCGAGGATGTGACTTTGTTTTACCATCTAGATTCAAGAAGAGACTGAAAGCTTTTCAGCAGGTCCAGGTTTGTGTTTCAGTTTCTGTCATTAAGTTGTTGTTGTCAGCTATACCTTCACAGGAACCCAAACTTCAGGAGATACGTGGAAGGTCTTTCGCAATTAAGCAGTATTTCAATAGCCTGTTCCTCTTTGCTTTGGAAAACTGAGCAGGTGGCTCTGCAAACCGTTACGAAAACAACGAAAGCACTTTGAGCCATGTAGCAAAGAGAAAAGTATGATGTTTGCTCAGGGGTGTGTGAAAGTTCGTGCATTTAATGCAATCAGACTGTTAAAGGCTCTTTAATTTGCATGTTCATAATCTTGCATTTCTTCAAGGAGCTTAATTTGCATTTTATTGAAATGAAGCATTAAAAAAAGCCAAGTAGTAGGCTGCAGCTTTACTAGCCTAAATGGGACATATTAAAAGATGCCTTCATCCTCACCTGATGATCTTGAGTGCCTCTGTGTTATTTTTCAGTCTTTGTGCTTAGATAAGTTTTTACTACACTCATCCCAAATCTGTCACTCAGCTGTTTTGCAATGGTGAGTTAAATCCACCATTTTAAAGTGACCTCATAATTGAAAATAGAAACCTTTAAAATGATTAGTAGGAAAACTACTGATAAAGTGGTAATTCCAAGGAGTTCTGAGGGTTTTTTGTTTTGTTCCTTTATTTTTTAGGGGAAGCTTACAACTGTTCTATAGGTGGGATCAGGGAATTCGCTTTTCCCTGTTACTCCTAAATTTTCCTGTTTTGGGGGCATGTGAATGCATTAATTTTGTCCTTACCTCACCCTTACCATGAATCAAAGTGTTTGATGCACCTTGATTCTAGTACATGAATATAATAAACATAACATAAAGATGTATGACATCTTTACCCTTTTTTAATTAAGGAGAGTTTGGCAATTGGATACAGAGTACTCTGTCTTAGGATTTGTGGTTTTTAAAATCATTCTAAATATAGCCTGCCACTTAATTTTGATTTCACTGTGCTAGTGTCCCTTTCAGGTGACCTTCACCAGTGGGCCAGAGAGCCCCATGGCACTAAAAATGTGTTAGCTTTCTACCTACTCCATGGATATTCCGTATTTGGATCAGCTGAGCCATATACGGAGTGTTTGTACCTCTGCGCAAGGCAGCTTCACAAACTGGCTTGTCAGTTTTAGTCCAGTTGGCGTAACCTTGTGAATGGAAGGATTTGATAAATCTAATCTTCCATGTTTAACACTGGAGACAGAGAAGGGAGCTTGCTACTGGCAGCAGACAGAGGGAATGTCAGCGCTCCCCAAGTCCCCAAAAGCAGCAGTGTCACTCGCTATTTAGGCACGTCTGAGCCGAAGCGAATTTCGTCCAGCTGTGGCAGCCCGTTGTAAACAAACCCGCTGCCTTTTGTTGTGTCCCTTCCCTGGATCTCCCCTTCCCAAAGGGTGGCTGGAGCACTCGTCCTTCCCCAGCACAAGGCTTTTCGTGCTGAGCTTCAGCGCGGTGCTGCCTGTGTAGGAGTAGCTGCATACCTCGGAGGGAAGTTTGCCTGCTCTGCAGGGGGGTTCCTGTTTTACCATGTTGCCAGCCACAAGTTTACAGTGGAGAAAATGAACAAATGTTTTTTTGCTTTTAACCAGGCTTGCACTTTTGGGACAAATGACAGTTGTTGATTAAGATATGTTAAAACTCTTATCAGTGTTACAGACAAAGTTCTGTGGGCAAAAAAGGGTTAAAAGGAAAGAAAAAGATATCTATCTTTGCTCAATTAGAGATAAAATACTTCAGCTTTCCTCCAAATGGTGCTTTGATTCTACTTCACAACTTTTAAGACAACCCTTTTGAAATTAACTTAAAGCAAAATATGAGTGCTGGTAACTCTTGGTCTTGAAGGAGGTTTGATATTCTTTATCTGGTAGTTTATTTCAAATAGTGTGTCATGGGTTATACACATTTCATAGAGTGCTAGTCATTTTTGTTGAGGAAATCTTGCGTTGAAACTAAAGACTGCTTAGGACTTCTGTAGAATACCTTGATTTTTTTTTTTTCCCCCCTCATCTCAGTTGCTGAAGTTCAGTGACAAGAGTGTGTCAATTCCCTGGGAATAGTGACTTTCAGGCAGAACAGTTTACAGATCTGATGTAAAATGAGAATGCTAAAATCGAGCAAAATTGGAAGCCAGTCTGTCTGGTCTTAAATTAAATTTAGACATTTTTATATGAATGTAATGGCTGCATCTTGTTGGATAAATGCCTTTTTTTTTACTTGGGAGGTTTAGTGCGGTAAGACAAACTCTTAAAATAAAAACTGAGTACCAGTGGGGTATGGCAGGATAACATGTGGCTGAACATCTCTGCAGCTGACTGGAGTGACTGGGTCTTGCACACATTCTAGGGCTTCTAAGTCAGTGGCTTTTTATGTAGAGCTAGGCCACCCCAGTAGCCCCCTACGTTGTTAAAAAGGGTCTAGCAAATGGAGTTTTATGAAAATGTTTTAATAGCACTGAACTAGCACTGTTTGCAGGGTAGGTTGGTCTGTAAAGCAGTGGGACAAGCTGTTTCTCAGGGGTTGCTTTTATCTATGATGATTGATAAAACTGAGGAAAATGGGGCTTTCTGGCAAGATCAGTCAAAATAAGGGTAAAATAATGCTCAAATAATGAAAATACCCTCTTTGTTTTGGGATATTGAAGAAAATTCAAAAGATACTTCTGAGCAGAACTTTACTATCCCTCTTTTATGCCCCTCTTTAACTGATGTAAGGAGATCTTTTATACACAATTTAACATTGCAGAATATAGTGAACTGGAAATGTAATACTGGAAGAGGTGCTCTTCCATCACACACTATCATCAGGCTCATCAATTTTTTTCTAAAACCTTGCAGTGAGAATCACCATGTCTCAGCTCTATGGGCAACTTAAAGATGTGAGGTAAGAAAGGTTTCCTACCTGCTGAGAGCTGAGTAAGAGTGTTTTGCCCAGCAGTTGGTGGCATCTTCACCTGTGACACTATTACCCAGACTGTATAAAGAGAATATATACGAGGTTGGAAACAAAATGATAACAGGGTAAATGACATCTGTGTGCCATGTGACATCATATTCCAAACTAGGAAAATAGGTATTTTTGCTACTTAAGAGCTGACATGGCTTTGTAAAACAACTCAGTTTCAACTTGAAACTACTAGACTCTTTTTAAAGCCAAATCAATCTGTTGAGTAGCTTTAATGAGATGATATATATATTAAAAAAAAAAAGCCAAAACTTTTTTTTAATATCAGTACCAGATCTGCTGCTACCACTTGGTGATCCCTGTAGTTGTATGCGTCACACCTCAGTGTGGAAATGGAGAACTACCAGTTCCACGACCACCTGTTACTGATACTAAATGCTGCTTACACAAGCTATTTATGTCAGCTGTATGTGAACTATTTCTTCAACTTCTACACAGTGGCTCAAAAGATTAGCTTTCCTTCTGAGTCAAGTAAGCTGCCCAGCCTAAGTGCCTCTTGATCATTTTCCCACTCCTCTGTTATTAAAATGCCTTTTTTGTGTGTGTGCGTGGCGCATTCAAGGCAGCAATGAATAAAAGTGCTTGTAGGTATTGTGGGTGCTATGCTGGAGTGCAGTTGTGCTGTAGTTTGTATTTTGTAGTTGTCCTGATTCTTCAAAGGTCACTAACATTCTCATTTCTGGGGTAAAATTAACTTTGAAAAGTTTGCTTCTGTGGCTACGTGTGTGAAGCAAACTATATGGATCTGCAAAGCAATTGGTGGTTAATGATGAGCTAACTTACCCAATGGGGGCTGTTTTCAAATCCTGGGGAGACCCTTTAACACCATAGAGGGAAAACCTGATATCCATTTTTAAATAAAATTTTTTAATCAAGTACATAAATACTTAAAAAGATAAAAGTATTTTCTAGAAAAAGATGGAGGACACTTCATGTTAGTGTTTTTTTTTTTTTTTTTTTTTTTTTTTTTTAAACTGGTATAAGGCCAATTTTCAGGAGCGGTGTCAACATTTCAGACAGAATGTAACACATCTTAACTAGTCTCTGCGGGTAGTTCAGGCAAGAGATATTTTCTACCACTTGTGCTGTGGAGACATATGTAAAATGCAGCAACCACGCTGTGGCAGCAGCTCGCGTAGCTGCTCATAACTTCTGCTAAAGGCGTGTAAGAGCCCCCGGTTTTGCAGAACTGCTAATGTGGCGCAAGGTTATCCTCCAGCCAGCTCGACTTACTCATTTAAGAGTTTAGGTCAGTTTTAAGAATTTAGACATTCAAGAGTCTTAATTTCGGGAGTTTTTTGTTTGTTTGTTTTATTTTTTTCTTCCTTTGTTTTCTGGAATAAAAACCTCTTAGGCCTTTTTCCTACTTTAGCACACTTCTAGCTTTATAGTCACTGATGCCACTTAAATAGTAGGTGGTCTATATATTTCAGCTGTACTACTTTGTATGCTAGAAAGCCTGAATCAGTTGGGCCCATCTTCACATAAAATATCCTTTGACTTTTTCAGGTAAATGGTGGCATATGAGTGTGGTGTTTTGTTCTCTCTTATCCCCACAACCTTCCCAATCAGAATTTGCTGGGAGAGCTGCCAGAGTGCTTACTGCAACTGTTGGGTCTGCAGCCATATAACAGGGCTGAGCTTGCTTATGTTCTTCTTGTCTGGAGTATTTTTTTTCATGCTCAGCTGAATCTAGTGGCCAGAATATGTTTTGCTATAAACATGATGAGATTAAATTACAAAGTATAAGAATAAAGTGGGTGTCTTAGCCCCGCTTGTTACTGCTGATGTTTAAGTGATAACCTCTCCTGACAAAGAATTGGCTTCTGTAGATAAATGCTAGGATCACATGGCGTAACTGACTATTGTTTTTTCCCTATCTAAATGATCCATTTAGAAAGTGATGGCTCCTTTGCAAATAGTGAGTCCCAGTGTGGTCCAGTGGCTGTGTAAAATTAAGATCATTATGTGCAAAGGCAATCCTAGCAGCTGGCTTCCTGAAAAAGGCTGGAATGTGGAGTCTCCTTCT